AGTAAAATTTTACTTTCATACAGAGTAAAATTTTACTTTAACTCTAGCCTTTGCTCATTGCGCTTTGATTTCTGTAGTGTTTTGGTCCTGCAATTTCAATGCTTTCAAATTGACTTGCTTCATTTTCCAATCAGAGTAAAATTTTACTTTCAATAAAATTAAAGTTTTACTTTCAGATTCACTTGTTTATAATGAGAGTAAAATTTTACTTTAACTCTAGCCTTTGCTCATTACGCTTTGATTTCTGTAGTGTTTTGGTCCTGCAATTTCAATGCTTTCAAATTCACTTGCTTCATGAATTTTTCAGAGTAAAATTTTACTTCCAATCAGAGTAAAATTTTACTTTCAATAAAAGTAAAGTTTTATTGCCAAACAGAGTAAAATTTTACTGTCTCATTACAATGCTTGTGCATTTTGTTTAGTGTTTATTTGTTTTGTCACATTGTTGTTTATTGTAAAATGTTACACTGTTGATATAGGGAAACTTTTTAGTATTTGAAAATGGTTGTTAGAAGAAGCAAATGTGGTGATGATGATGATGATGATTTTGAAGTTCCACCAACGGTTATACAAAAGAAGAAAGTCCCTAAAAAAAAGAGCAAAAGTAGTGAAGAAAGTCCTTCAAAGTTGAATATTGTACATGGAGTACGGGAGAGGGAGAACTATATGAAACAATATAGGTCAAATATTGTTTCATTGATAAACATAATGCAAGACACGAGGTTCACTAAAAGACACATCACTGCCCTTGAGAGAACACCTTTTGGGATGTTGTTTAAATGTTTTTGGAAGAAAGATGATGTGGTGTTAAAGAAGTTCAAGAAAGTTGATGATAATGTCATGGATGTGATCAAATCTTATGACTTTCATGCAAAGGGATTTAAGCTTGGGGGAAAAACATGTGACATACGGGACAGTGATGTTACTTTGATTTTTGGGATAAAATCGGGAATGAAAAAAGTAGATGTGTCATATGGGAAGAAACAAGAATCACCTTTTGTGCAGAAAAGGTTTCGTAATATATCAAGAATATCTGTAAAGAGTTTGCGAAAGGCATTAGGAGATGCGTTGGAAGGCACAACGAGAGTTGATGTTGAGGATGTTGCACGAATAATGTGTCTATTTGTTGTGGCGACTTTGCTATTACCAACAACTGGTCTAACAATTGGATGGGCCTTTGTCGCCCTTGTAGAAGATTTGGAAATGATGAATTCGTATGCATGGTCGACTGCAGTTGCATCCACGTTGACGACGTCAATCCATTCCTCATTAGGAAGTCCTGAAAATGTCACTGGATGTGTACTTCTTCTTTTGGTAAGTAAATTGAACTACTTTAAATATTATGCAATGTATCTTTAGAGAATTAACTAATTTTGATTTTTTATTTTATAGTACTGGTTATGCGAGCATACTACCCTCATTCAACCTCAAGGAAAAAATTTGTGTCCAAGGCTCCTTCGATGGGACTTATCAACATTGAGGAAAAAGCTAATGAAGAGGTCATTGCAAACACTAAAGCCCGAAGAGGTATCATTTTTCCAAACTCAGCCTTACTGTACAAAAGAGGTCATCTGGGAATGCATAATGAGGAAAAAGCTAATGAAGAGGTCATTGCAAACACTAAAGCCCGAAGAGGTATCATCTTTCCAAACTCAGCCTTACTGGTTCACTTTGTTTAAAATTATACTTACATAATAAAATCTTACTCTTGAACAGAGTAAAAGTTTATTTTAAAATAGAGTAAAAGTTTACTTTAAATCAGAGAAAACGTTTAGTTACCGTCAGAGTAAACTTTTACTTACAATCAGAGTAAACTTTTATTTTGAAACATAGTAAAATTTTACTTACTCTTGAATAGAGTAAAAGTTTACTTTAAATCAGAGAAAACGTTTAGTTACCGTCAGAGTAAACTTTTACTTACAATCAGAGTAAACTTTTATTTTGAAACATAGTAAAATTTTACTTACTCTTGAATAGAGTAAAAGTTTACTTTAAATCAGAGAAAACGTTTAGTTACCGTCAGAGTAAACTTTTACTTACAATCAGAGTAAACTTTTACTTTGAAACATAGTAAAATTTTACTTACTCTTGAACGGAGTAAAAGTTTACTTTAAATCAGAGTAAACTTTTACTTACCGTCAGAGTAAACTTTTACTTACTCTTGAACAGAGTAAATGTTTACTTAAAATTAGAGTAAAAGTTTACTTACAATCAGAGTAAACTTTTACTTTGAAACAGAGTAAAATTTTACTCTAGTGGTTAAAGTTTGCTTAATTGCTGGCTTCTTTTCTTTTTCTATTTTTCAAATGCAGGTAAATCACAATGAACTGAAGCCCATTTCCAGAGAAGAAATGGCCCTCATTTGCAATGATGATGAAGAAGATGCATTGGAAATAGAGAAAAATTTGGAGACTGAAGAAGATGCATTGGACATGGAGGAAAATTTGGAGACTGAAGAAGATGAAGATCATGTAGCTGAAGCTTTAGGAGATGATCAACCTTTGAAGAACTGAAGAAAATTAGGGAAACAATGCAAAAAATAGAAGAGGATCAAGAGGCAAAAACAAAAGAAACGATGGAAAAGATGAGCAACACAGAGAAAGAAATGGAGAAACTGAGAAAGGAGATTGAAGTACTCGAATCTGAAAATAAACAGTTGGTTGAACAGATTGAAGAAAATGCAGTTCATGCGGCTACCCAAGGTTTTGCTTCTAAAGAAATGCCACATGCTGAAGGAATAGAACAAGAGCAAAACATTGGGATTCAAAGTACATTGAAAGAATCACCTATAGTCGTAAAGCCATTGCAAACATCCATGGTCAGGAAAATCAAAATCAAAGCGAGGAAGAAAAAAGAGATGTTTGATTTTGAATGTGAGCCAAGAGAGGCAAAGAAAAAAAAGACCACAAAACAAGCAATTGAAGTGATGTCAAAAGAAGTGATTTGTGTTAACAACTTGTCTCTAAGCCAAGCAAAGCCAGTTGAAAGGGTTTTGTTTCCAGATAAGGCTGCAATATCCAAATTGCTTGATGAGAATGATAAGTGTCTACTGAACAAGATTTACAATTTGGAAACCATAGAGTAAGATCATTTTAATTTTGTCAAACAACAGATTTTTACTGTTATCAAACTACAACGTGTTAATCAACATTTTTTTTACCTTATGTGTAACGCCCTCAAAATAGTAACATTAAACCCATCAATATAAGCATACATTTATATATAAAAGATCCACATTTCTTCAATTTATCAGAGTACTTCATTACAAAAGTATTACACGTTAACAATAAAAGCAAATGCCCTACGGGCTTACAGCTTTCCAAGTTAACACTTGGTTACAAAGAGAGTTTTGACTCGGTTACACATTAAGCCCTTGGCTTGAATTTACATGTAATACATCAAAGGAAAATAAGGCAATAAAAGTATGTCTGCCCCTAGCCTCCTAAGCTACGTCCTCAGAGGTGGCATGCGACCTGTACCTGAAAATGATGTTCCCATATAGGGTGAGCCACAGCCCAGCAGATATACTAAACCAACCATAAATAATGCCTAAAAGATTAGCAACTGATAGATGGTCGATACTTACACTTCCATTTACATCTTATTACAACTCCACGACAATCAAGTCTAAATTACAATTCACCTTCCATTTCTTATTCAACATTGAGTTTGAAAACAAGGCTCAGTACTCTGGCCAAAACCTTTGATGTGATTATAATTCACCACTAGAACACTTTCGAAAAATTTAAGATGGATACACATTTTGGTGTTGTATCAAAAACACATAAACCACTTCCATGCTTCACAAACGATGATGATATACATTTTAGTGCTATATCAAATTAAATAAACTTCCCAATAGACAAGCATATGAGCTATATCACTACTACCACAGATAAGCATATGAGCTATATCACTACTACCACAGATAAGCATATGAGCTATATCAACATTTCAATAGACAAGCATATGAGCTGTGTCATCATTCCAATGGGAGAGCATATGAGCTGCAACCCTGGGTCCATCCCCCATCTTCCCTTAACTATTAACCGGTTTAGAGGTATATCCCCCATCTTCCCCTAAACCGTGGAGTACATCCCCCATCTCCTCCCATACACAAGCAATGCATATAAACACAGAATCATACACGCAATCAATCAATACATAAAGTTAATGTATTCTATCAACCATCTACACATAATGCATATAAACACATTGATCATATACCCGATCAATCAATACATAAAGTTAATGTATTCTATCAACTGTCATACTCTATGACACATCCAATTGATTAGTTCTAGTTTGCCTAATCATCATGCATTGTCTACAACAATCAACACTACCCTCCACCGGTAGTCCAAAGCCATTATTTCTAAATAGGAAATAAATGCACAAATCGATAATATATCAATATTTGAACTAGGTGAACAATAAATGACTCAACCATACCCTTTAGTCCCATACATTCCCAATTTCAACATTCTCAGTTCAATTCCTTATTTTCTCTAATTAATTATATACATTAATTAATTTAACCACTTAGGGCAAATTGCCATAATTCACAAAACAACCCTAAGGTTCCATTTCCATCAATGTCCCAACATTAATCTCATTTCTCTATGCCTAACATGCATATAGGTTTATATATTTAAAACCCCAACTTTTGTAAAATTACACAAAGGCCCAAACTTTCACGAAATTACCAAACCAACCCCAACATCTCAAAATACTAAAATTTAAAGACAAAACTCATAGAGAGGAGTAGGATATCCCTACCTCAAATTCGAAGCTCAAGGAAAGAAGATGACGAAACCCAACGTGCTCCAAAACTCGAAATTTTCAGATTAGAAGATAGCCCTCGACGATCAACACAACTTTTGTAAAGGCCCAAGGTGAGAAAACAACCCCTACTAGATCAATCCTAAGAGAGAAGTTAGGGTTTTAGTGAGAGGAGCTCTCAAATAACTTTTTTTGAAAAGTAAGAGAAAGAAAGGATGTTGAAAAAGTGAACAAAAAGTCGGATCTCCGCTTTATATAAAAGTCGCCCCGCTCGAGCGTCACTCACAGATCCCCGCTCGAGCGCCCAATTCCCCGCTCGAGCGGCGGATGCACGTTCCCAGAACTTTTACAGACCTGATGCCCGCTCGAGCGCAAAACTCCCCGCTCGAGCGTCAGACACAAACTCCCGCTCGAGCGGCCAATCCCCCGCTCGAGCGTCTACCACTGCAGACGAAATACTGGACAGGTGATTTCCCCGCTCGAGCGCTAACACCCCCGCTCGAGCGGACAAGCACCAACAGAGTCCCGCTCAAGCGGAGAGACCAAAAACTAGGCAAAGATTTTACGTTTTAAAACGCAACCAACTTATTCCCAACTTGCCCAACACAATAAAGAGAAAGGGATAGAAAGAGGATAAGACAACAGCACCCTCACGAAACCGAATCCGGATCACAATTAAGCACGAAAGGGAAAACCGGGATCGCTATATTATGACTAGTGCAATCATATGGTCCGGCACAGGAAATGGAGTATATGTTACATTGCATGATGTGGATGCAATTCTGAGAGATGGTGATACTACAAATAATGTAAGTGGCCCTACAAGTTTCAATGACTAGTGTTCACTTTAATAACTAAAAATAGTTTATTTTATTAACATATATTTAATTGATTTTTGTTTTTGTAGGTCATTGACAGCTTCATAGAAATGCTTGAGATTGAGCAACAAGTCAAGAAGCTAGAAAAGAATAAATCATTCTTTTTCTCAAGCCTTTGTTGGGTAAGCCATCAATTTGTATTTAGTTTGAATTGATAAATTTTTACTATGGTTTAGTGTAACATTGTACTGTATTTTGGAGTTAATTTTTACTATTTGGTTTGCCAAAGATTGACAACTCATACAGTGTGTCACTAACACAACTTGAGACATGACACTCTTATATGATTAAATGTAGTCTTTAGTGAAATGGGGTTATGGGGAGCTGAGAAATCATTTAATTGATAAAGTCCTTCAACAAGATTTGAGTGGATATAGATACCTTCATTTTTGCATGAATTCCAATGGGAACAAAAAGGAAGAAAAACCCTACCACTGGACACTTCTTGTATTTGACACTGAACTTGATGAGTGGAGATATTACAATTCTTTAAGGCCAAAAGACAACAGAGAAGATCCTTACCTAAAGGATGCAAAAAAGATTGTAAGTGCTTTGCATCATATTAACAGTATTTTTTGTTGTGTTTTATTCTTGAATTTAATTGTGACCAAACAATTATGCAATGATGTTAGATAACATATATGGATAGCAAGTTGGCCAACAAAACGAAGAGAGGTAGAAGAAAGTTTGCAAACTTGGTTTCAGTGAAAGATAGTCCACAACAACGCCCAACATCGTAAGTATTTCACGCTACTATTACATGCTTGAATTGGTAGTTTTCAAATTTGACTAAATCTAACAAGATATTGATTTTTATTTAATAGTGTTGATTGTGGAATTATTGTATGTTATATCATGCGCCAAATCATAAGAGATGAGCCTATTACAAATTCTATGGAAGATGATGAAATTAACAATTTCCGAGCGTCAATAGTGCATCAATTTTTGAATGATTATCCAAAAGCATGGACTGAGGAACAGTTCAACCTCAAAAAAAAAATGGGCAAGAGCTAAGACCTCAAGGATGACAATCTGGACAAGTTCTGGGGAACTACTGTGAATGATTTTTGTAATTTCGGTTTTTGTAAATGAAAGAACGGTGAAAAAGTAATTGTAAGTGAAAGAATACTAAAAGAGTATTAGATAGTAGATGCTATGCCAATTGTTCTAGTAAATTTTACTGTAGTTTGGTGATTATTATACAAGGATATTTTGTTTTGACTGGGAATGAATGTTGTTATGGATAGAATATAATGATACAGGTAGAGGCTTAAATTTTTTTTCACTGAATGTTGCTATGAATGTTGGAATGAATGTTGCTATGAATTTTGTTTTGACTGGGAATGTAAGTGAAATGAATGTTGCTATGAATGTTGTTTTGAGTGGGAATGAATGTTGATGATATATGTAGTTGTGTTGTTAGATTATTTTTGCACAAAGATTGCATGATGATCATCAGGGGAGTTTGTGTGTTGTGGATTTTGGTGCAAGTTGGAAATGTTTTTCTAAGGGGACTAACATATTTTCTGAAATAAAGCAAAATTTTACTTTGAAAAGAAGTAAAATTTTACTCTGAAATGAAGTAAACTTTTACTCTGCATAAAAGTAAAATTTTACTTTATATTTTGAAAGACTCTGTATCTAAAAGTAAAATTTTACTCTGCATAAAAGTAAAATTTTACTTTATATTTTGAAAGACTCTGTATCTAAAAGTAAAATTTTACTCTGCATAAAAGTAAAATTTTACTTTATATTTTGAAAGACTCTGTATCTAAAAGTAAAATTTTACTCTGCATAAAAGTAAAATTTTACTCTGAAATAAGAGTAAAATGTTACCAGAACTGTATGAAAGTAAAATTTTACTCTGAAGGGCGAGTAAAATTTGGACTTATCTAAAAGCAAAATGTTACTCTGCACTAAAGTAAAATTTTACCCTCCATAAAAGTAAAATTTTACTTTGAAATAACGTAAAATTTAATATAAAAGTAACATTTTACTCTGAACATAGTAAAATTTTACTGTGAAACCACAAGCTCCTCACACCCATAGACAACCATTCAACGACAAAACAAATCAGAAACTAGAACAGACAACCATTCAAGAACATAGTAAAAATGTCTTTTATTGCAATGTCTCCTGACAAATCTAGTCTAAAAGACTATACTATTATTGCTATGGACTACTTATTGCAGAAGAACTGCATTATTTTCATACTTCTATTATAAAACAAATCAATAATGTCTTTCACGGCAATGCCTCCTTGCAAGTCTTCCTATTATGACCGTACTTCTCGCATCTACTACACTGTACTCGTCTTATCTTCTCACCTCTAGATGGGATCCTATTCTTTCTTGGCCTACCAGGTGGCTTCTTACAAATTGGAGGAAGGACAACAAGATCATCCATAGCTACAAGAGGTTTCTCAACAGTAGGTATTGGATAAATGGACTCAGCATAGCAATCTTTGAACTTGCTAGTGTAATAAAATGGTTCCACATGTGCATACAAATCACCTCCGCTCTTTTGGATAGCAGTCGCCGCGTGAGCACAAAGAAATCCATTCAATTGCCATTGGTAACATGAGCAAGTTCTATTCAAGAGGTCAACGCTAACCAATGGCCGGGATTGAACTTCAAAAACGTGATCACTTGAACGACTAACCAGCCAAGTTCTTCCACTTTTAAGAGCATTTACTAATGTTGAATCCATCTCCAGACAAAGAAAAGTATTCTATTTCTTAGCTTGTTCTCTCCTTCTCGACATCAAATCCATGATCTTCAACCTAATTGAATCAATCATCTTTGTAGTGGGCAAATGGCGAGCTTGACGGATCCATGAATTGAAAGACTCTGCCACATTCGAGTGCATTTCACCGTATTTTTGTCCTTTAAAATATGCATTACTCCACTTGTCATAGGGCAAATTGGATAGAAACCCACAAACGATCCCTTTTCCCTCATCTTGTAATTCTTTCAAGCACTGATTAAAACATCCCACTGTCGGAGCGTAAGCACACAAAGAAAACAAAAAAACTATTCTACTCCTGAAAGTATTGCTGAAACTTCAGAAAAGTTCCATCGATAAACAATAGAGGACGACAATGCCTAAACCCTTGAATGGAAGCATTAAATGCAACAAAAAACCTCTTGAACCGTCCACTTTGATGGTTATAGTCAAGACGCAAATAGCTACCAGGATTTGTGCTCATCACAATATCTATATACCATCGAATCTCATCATAAGACATAGAGAAATCCCCCAAAGTAGTAGTCCTAGCTTTCTCAACTCCCAACCAAGCGTGATTGTACGTAATGGTGAGCCCGTATTGATTTGTAAATTGACGCACAACATCAATTGGACGAGTTTGGGGATTCCCACGAACTTCATTAACAATCAAACTTGCAACCAAATTTGAACTCATCCTTGAGTTTTTAGAAGTACGAACTGCAGCTCCACAAGAATACTCATCATGTAGAGTCCTAATGTAGAAAAAATTATTAGCACTTTCCAGAGATGCATGTACTCGCCATAAACAAGCTTTCGACTCTCGCATTGAACACACAGCAGTGACCCGACACTTCTCATTCTTCACATACACAAACTCAAATCCTATCTCAATGGTATATTTACATAATGCAGTCTGAAAATCCTTTGCACCTCCAATAAATCTTTGACCTATATGAGTAATTCCATTCACCCATTCACAAGACAACAAAGTCCTTTCTTCATGTTGACAAAACATAGGGAGTAAATCCATTTCATCATCAGTAATGTTGGATCCAGTAGCGTCCCCTGATTCTCCAACTCCATGTTTTTCATTTGAAATGCCCATTTCAGTAATAGTCACATCAACCCGGTCAACACCAAGGGGATAAACAAGCGACAACATATTCTGAAAATCAGAATCATCATCAATCATGCATTGCGAATGTCCAGGCAAACAGTACGATAACAGTATGCAACCATTATTGTCAAACTTCTTCAATTTACAACTTAAGAAATCAGTTAAATCCTTCAACGTGCAGTTTGACACAACCTTGAACACAATGGTACAATCACCATACTTGCATAACAACATAAGAGGTGGAACCATTTTACAAATCTGCAATCAATTAACAGTAAAATTTTACTCTGTATAAAAGTAAAATTTTACTCTGATATAGGAGTAAAATGTTACAAAAGGAATCTAAAAGTAAAATTTTATTCTGCAAAAAACGTAAAATTTTACTCTGCATAAGAGTAAAATTTTACTCTGAATCTAAGAGTAAAATTTTACTCTGAATGTTGCGGCCTGAATTTGAAAGTAAAATTTTACTCTGTATAAAAGTAAAATTTTACTCTCATTGTAAACAGAGCAATCGAACCAGAGTAAAATTTTACTCTGATATAGGAGTAAAATGTTACAAAAGGAATCTAAAAGTAAAATTTTATTCTGCAAAAAAGTCAAATTTTACTCTGCATAAGAGTAAAATTTTACTCTGAATTTAAGAGTAAAAATGTTGCGGCCTGAATTTGAAAGTAAAATTTTACTCTCTATAAAAGTAAAATTTTACTCTCATTGTAAACAGAGCAATCAAGCAGAGTAAAATTTTACTCTGATATAGGAGTAAAATGTTACAAAAGGAATCTAACAGTACATAAAAGTAAAACTTTAATCTGCATAAGAGTAAAATTTTACTCTGAATTTAAGAGTAAAATTGTTGCGGCCTGAATTTGAAAGTAAAATTTTACTCTGTATAAATGTAAAATTTTACTCTCATTGTAAACAGAGCAATCAAGCAGAGTAAAATTTTACTCTGATATAGAAGTAAAATGTTACAAAAGGAATCTAAAAGTACATAAAAGTAAAATTTCACTCTGCATAAGAGTAAAATTTTACTCTGAATTTAAGAGTAAAAATGTTGCGGCCTGAATTTGAAAGTAAAATTTTACTCTACATAAAAGTAAAATTTTACTCTCATTGTAAACAGAGGATTCGGACCAGAGTAAAATTTTACTCTGATTCTCTGAAACAAAAGGCACAGCAATAGAACCAAAGTAAAATTTTACTCTGATTCTGTCAAACGAAATCAGAACAAACACAAGAAAAATAAATCAAACAAACAAAAATAAAAAAAATTCATTACAAATCAACATACCTAATTGAGAAGAAAAACCTCTACAACTCGATCAACAATCACAAATCTCAATGAAACTTTCGTTTAATTGAGAGTGTTGATCATCGGCCACCAAGTAAGAGATGTTCGGCTGCGAGATCGTCTATTGTTGAACAAGTGAGAGATGTTCGGTTGCGAGATCTTCAGATCTAAAAATCGTCTTCATCGATTTTGTGAAGTATGATCGATTTGGAGCTCAGATTTCAAATTTTTACGTATGATACTATATAAGGGCAATATTGTGATAAAAAAATTGGAAATTATAAAATGTCCTTATTAAGTTAAACATTTCTTACTCAGGGACTTTTTGAAAGAAAATTAATTGGGTTATCCTTTACCCTAATAAAAAGGCCCAAAATGGGGGTTCCACCAAAAATCCCTTATGAATTTGGACAAAATCCCTCATTAGCATTTAAAATCCTCTCATACAAATAATTATAGATACAGCCCGTGCATAGTTACTGCAGTAGCCTTTTTAATTTCTCTTGTACACTATGATTAGTGATAAGATTGTTAAATTATTTTTATAAAAAATCTTAAAAAACATAATTTATATGTTGGTTTTTAATCCCAAGTATTGTGGGAGCTCCAATCTCCCAATCTAAATTTCTTAATTTTTTAATTTTTTTTTTAAAAAAAAACTTAACATTTATTAATCTCTCTCAACCCCAAGTCTTACCCTCATAATAACACTTTAATGCATTAAGAACAAACATAAAAAAAAAATTCTTGAAAAGTCCAACACATATGATTATTATCAAAATATTAAACTTTAGTATAATACAATAAAAAAAAAGAAGACAATTAATTCCTTAAAAAGTCCAACACATATGATTATTATCAAAATATTAAACTTTAATATTATATAAAAAAGGAAAAAAAGAAGACATTTAAAAAAAAAACATTTAAAAATCGCAATTTACATATATAGATAATTGTAAATATATTAAGAAAAATGGAGTTTCTAAACCCCAAGCCTTGTGGGAGCTCCAATCTCTCAATCTTAATTTTCTAAATTTTTTATTTAAAAAAAAAATCAGCATTTATTGATTTGGTCAAAATTCCCTGATTAACATTTATTAATTTTTTCCAATCCACATGCCTGCATTTATTGATTTAGTCATAATCTCTGATTAGCATTTAAAATCCCCTCATGCAAATAATTATAGATACAGCCCGTGCATAGATACTGCAATAGCTTTTTTAATTTCTCCTGTACACTATGATTAGTGATAAGATTGTTAAATTATTTTTATAAAAAATCTTTAAAAAAATAATTTATATATTAAAAAAAATTAAAATAAATATAAATACCTATAATTATCCCGTGCATAGCACGAGTGATAGGCTAGAATTTAGTGTGAACTTTTAAGGAATTATTTTGATAATAATCATATGTGTTGGACTTTTTAAGGAATTAAATGTCTTTTTTTTTAATTCCCCATAGTTAGTATTTAAATGAAAAATGATAATACAAGATACACTCGCTTGAATATGTTTAGGAGGTATTATTAAAAAATTTCATACAATTTGAAGTAGTTAGTCTATTAGTAATAAAATTCTCTTTATCTATTGGAAAAGATTAAAAAAAAAAAAATTTGAAATCAATATACTATTCCATTTGGATTTATCAAAACACCCATTTCAATAATAATAATAATAATTAATGACTAATTGGTTTACACTTACACATTCTTATATAAGAGATTAGTACATCAATTATTGTCAAAGACTATTGAGTTGTTAATTTTTTTCACTTTGAGTATGAGCTAAGGTTGAATTGTGCCCATTTGGGAACCTATTATTTAAATAATTTTATTATTTTTTTAATTTATTGTGAAGTGAAAAAATTTAATGTGCTTAAGAATAATTTTTTTAGTTGAATAAATAGTTATAAAAAATAATTAATTGATATATATAATACAATCTTTTATTAATGAGGTTTAATTTTTTACCATTTTGTATTTTTTCCCTCCAAACTATACCTTATTTATATATTGATTATATATTGAATAATGTTATATGTATTAATTAATGCGACCCCGCTACGTAGCTCGAACGTAGAAAGCTCGAATGGCTCGAATTTTTTTTTTTTTTTTTCCTTTTCCTTTTTTCTTCTTTCTTCTTCTACACAGCCACACAATTTTTTTCTCTCCAAAATCACCACCATTGTTGTCGGACACATCGTCCTCTGCAACACAAATCAACAACACCACATGGGTTTGATTCTCCCATCTTTGAAGAACATTTGTCACTCTCTCACTAAGTGGGGTTTGGAGAGAGAAATCAATGTCTTACCCTCTTTCTCTTCCAACTGTTTGAAGCCATCCTCTGCTACCTACAGAGACGATTTGCTGAAAATTTTATCAAAGAAGCACAGTTTCAGGCTTTCACTAGCAACGATGGGAGAATTTTATTTTTTTTCCTTTCAGATTATCAACATTATCATCATCATCAAGATTTTTGTTTTTTTCCCCTTCAGATCCAGATCCAAATCAACTAGAAAAAAAGAAAAAGAAAAAGAAAAAGAGAAGAAGAAGTAGAGAAAGAAGAAGAAAAAGAAGAAGAACGAAGAAAAAATAAGAAGAAGAAAGAAGAGAAGAAAAAAAAAAAAAAGAGAAATTCGAACCTCCAATTCAAATCTCAAATTTTTGTAACTCACTGGAAGTTTCAAAAAGAAGAAAATCGAACCACCTACCCAAAACAGAAATCCTTTCTGTAACTCACTGAAAGTTTCAAACCTCCAATTCAAACCTCCAATTTTTTGTTTTTTTTTTTTTTTGGATAGGAGTAATGATTTTTCTCTCTTTTCTCTGGAAATTTCAAACCTCTCATGGGCTCACTCCATCATCATCATCATCAACAACCAACACAGAGGCTTCACCGCCATCACCATCAAGCGATCTTCCTTCTCTTCAACACTGTCGATCTTCTCTTTCTCCTTCTCTCTCGCCTCTTCTCTCTTCCTCTCCTCTTCTCTTCTCTCATCTCCTCTCTCTCTTTCTCTCTCTCCTCTTCTCTTCCCTCTGTATTCGAAAGCCAGAAAAGAGAAGAAAAAAAAATCAAAACAACGTCGTTTTGAATATTTGAGCCACTTTCGGGCCAAATATTTCGAGCTACGAAGCTTTTTCCTAATTAATGTACTAACTAGTATACTAACAAATGATACGGTATAATTTTAAAAGTTTTGGATATTTGTAATTTTTATAATAGGTGGGGGCAGTAATAATGACATAACATTAATTAATATACTAATATATACATTGCGGTGGTGCTACATGGAATCCGGATCTTCGGTCGCCTTCCCCTGTCGCCCCCAAAACGACGTTGTTTTGGGGGCGAATTTTCAAAAAAAAAAAAACGCAGAGAAGAGACGCAGAGAAGAGGGAGGAAGGAGAGGAAGAGGGAGACGCAGAGAAGAGACGCAGAGAAGAGGGAGGAAGGAGAGGAAAACAACGCTGGAAATCACCTCTGTGCTAATATGATATTTTAACAAATAACGATGGTGTTACATGCATTAATTAATATATAGAATAATGTTATATGTATCAATCAGTGTACTAATAAATATACTAATTGATAATATGGTATAATTTAAGAGATTTTTAGTATTTGTAATATAATTAATGAGTGAGGTTAATAACAATGTCATAACTAGTGTTGGTACACTAATTAGTAAACTAATTGGTGCATGTAGCACGAATCCGGATCACCCGTCGCCTTCCCCTGTCGCCTTCCCCTGTCGCCCCCAAAACGACGTCGTTTTGGGGGCGACAGGGGAAGGCGACAGGGGAAGGCGACGGGTGATCCGGATTCGTGCTACATGCACCAATTAGTTTACTAATTAGTGTACCAACACTAGTTATGACATTGTTATTAACCTCACTCATTAATTATATTACAAATACTAAAAATCTCTTAAATTATACCATATTAT